CAGTAAATGTTTTAAGTCCTCTTCACTTTCAGCAAGCAAGGTTGTATCATCTGCATATCGCAGGTTGTTAATGAGTCTTCCTCCAATCCTGATGCCAAGTATCTTGAAGCATTTTTGTTTGTTTTTTGGGTTTTGTTGGAGGAGGGGCATTGAACCTAGGCAACTAGACAGAACTAGAACAAGGAAAATGAAAATAGTTCATGTTCACTGAAGAAATTTCAACTTGTTGAGAAGCAGTTGGTAAAAAAAAAAAAAAAAAAAAAGTAAGAAGACATGAATTTGAGTCCCAGCTCTGTCATATACAAGTTGCGTGACTCCAAGCAATTCCCTCATTTGAAAAGTGGAAATAATACTTACACCCTCATGGTTTGCTTTTAGGATCAGAATAGACAGTGTGATCACCAGAGCTTGTCTATACAGACATAAGGAAGAAAGGGACTATTATTGTCTTTCTTGATTTGACCTTGGGTTTTCATCAACTACTGTTTATTTGATGCCAATCTATTGTGCAGTGACCAGTCAATATAAACAAGAGTCTTCCGAGTATGATAATAATTGATTAGCATTATATGCCACCTGTGTTACCCTGCAGAGTACATGAGAGTACATGAACAGAGAATCAGTGTTGCCATGAGAGCCTTTGTGGACTTAGCATGATATTAAATCACAAACCCACCAGGAACTAGGTCACCTGCCTGCTTCTCTGTCCACCATGCCCCATAAATCCTATATCCATGCAAAGCTAAGCTTATGCTTGGGAGCTCTGAAGAAGCAGACCAACGCAGTTAGAAGAGAAAGGAATGGTTAAGTGTCTGCTGTTGGGCCATGGCTCAGCCATTTAGACAAGTAATATATGCTTGCAATAATCTGAATAGATTTCAATCTTACATTAATCCGAATAGCTTCAAGATACTTGGGAGCTAAACTCTACTGATCATAAATCTTAAACCATCATGGAGATGATCTGCTGATCAACAAAAAACCCCTGCCATTGAGTCGCTTCCAGCTCACAGAGACCCCGTAAAGGGTTTCTGAGGCTGTAAGTCATGACAGGAGCAAAAAGACTCATCCTGTGTTTAGCAGTTCTGTGCTTATCCTACAGAGTCACCAGAACGGATCAGCAAGCATACTTAATCTCAATTCTATTGAAGGTAAAGTTGAATTTGAGTCATTGGGCCATTCTCAATGGGACAAGCCAATTGAGATAGGTCAGTACCAACTCGTAATAATATTGAAAATCTACTGTTTTGTTTTTTAACTTTTTACTGTGAAGTGAGTGAAGGTTCGCAGAGCAGATCATTAGTTTTACATTCCACAAACCACTAACTTGGTTTCATTTCAGTGATTGCAATCCCCTCCATGTACCATCCATCAGTTATTGTTACAGGTCTATTGTTGTCATAAGCATAATCCTTTATCTACACATCATTTTCAGGGTGCTGCTTAGAAAGAATCCTTAACTTTTTCTCAGACCTGTGAGGAAAAATTACATCTATAAATCGTTTTATTTTAATAATAAAGAGTAAATGCCACGCAATTAGCAAAATGCCCCTTTTATCAAATTTCACAGGATATAAGATTATTTTGTTGTGATATCCCCTAAATTGGGTTGTGCCTCATTTGCCTCTTTCCCTCTGTATTTGGTTATTATGAGCCCAAAACCCTCTTTTGTAGCTGTGAGCTTAAGAATTTCCAGACAAGAGTGTGCTGGTATTAAGCAGAATACGTTTTTATGTAAAAACTGGTGAACACTTTATCTGGTAGATTAAAGAAATAATCTTACCAATACAGCTGATGGTGTGCTTGTTGTCACTGTTGTTAAGTGCCGTGGAGTCAGTTCTGACTTATAGTGCCCCTGTGTGGAGTTTCCAAGAAGCAGCTGGTGAGTTTGAACTGCTGACCTTGTGGTTCAACTTGACCTTGTGGTTCAGTGCTTATCCCACAGCGCCACACCATGCTAGATCACTGTAATGACATTATGTCAGAAGAAATAAAATATTAATTTATTGCCTGTTTATCTTAAAAAAATATTAATGGAGTTTACAATATAAAAATACTTAACAAGGTAAATAACAAATCTAGGAGTTTCTAGTTTTATTATGAATAAAGCTGCTCTAAAAGTTCATATCCACGTTGCTCCTTTGTGTGAACATAAGTTTTCATCTCTCTGAGACAAATGCCTTAGAGTGCAAGTGCTGGGTCACTTGGTAAATCTATTTTAAGTTTTATAAAGAACAGCCAATCTGTCTTATAACAAAAATATGTACCCACTTTGAAGATATTAAAAGAGGACTAGAAGGCTTTTAGAATGAGAGCAAACAAAACTATTAAAAATCTAGGATGAGATGAATTGTATTTTCCAGTAACAAGACCAAAAATGAAAAGTTCCATCCAAAACAAAAAACAAAAATCCCTAAACAAAAATAAACAACAAAACACCAATATCATTGAAAAGAAAATATGGTTTCTAGTACCTGGTGTAGTGGCACTGTTGTATAAGCACTGGTTCAAAGCCACCAGCCGCTCCTCGGAAACCCTATTCAGGGTGGATATAAGTTGGAATCAGTTGG